GCTATGCGTATATTTTCCAACATATCTACGTGTATTTATAACAATCTAATTTCCATGTGACGAACATCGTTCGGCATGTATCAGAAAGCTGACGATTAACATTAAGATGAAGGCAAAGGCAGCCTCAGAATCGTCAGATTATAACATTCTTACAAGGCTTAGCGTCCGAGAAGACTTCACCACAATATTAATAACATTTAGACTAATACACTCTGACAGTGCTCAACATAGCATCGACGGCAACACCTGCTTCTCACTGCAGTGGGCCAAGTTTAATCTCAGGAAAGTGCCAGAGTAGGACTGGAAGCATTTTGTGTGAAAGAATTTGATACAGGTACCCTTCCAACCACTATTTTATTCCCTTAATCATCAGCCCTTACGTCTGAGATTCTTGTCACCCTGAACGTGTCGCGACTAAGAGTAAAAAAATAACTTAGAACCTTGCAAACCGTGCAGTGTATTGTATAAGATCATTCAAACAAACAAAGTTTTATTTAATGTATAAACAGTTTTGTTTGTATGAATTATTTTATATAGTAAAAAGAACGTTAAGTTATTTTCTGAACTGTGATTTCCTGCATATATAAACTGATGATTTGCGCCTACTCGTGCATTTAATTCATAAACGGCACTGTCTTGACATTGAACTTACGAAATATTCCCCTATTTATATGCGTAACATATTAAAATTAAATCCGTGGCGTAACAGCTCCAGAGAGCCAAAGCCGACTAGCTTGACTGCTGGCCTCACGTTCACATGCCTAAGCAGAGGTGGACGATCATCCAACCAGATATAGGGTCAGCACGACGAACCCCCAGCCATTGCTAGTTTCTATGACCGGATTACGCTACCCATTGTAGCTCCCCAATTTCCTCAAGATGCTGGGTTGGCATCGGTACCATACACCGGTCGAAAATCTCATGAGAAATTTCTTTCCCCGAGACTCGAACCAGCGCGCATTCCGTATCCCCGGTCCGAAGCATGATGCCTCAGACCGCGCGGCTACGGCGCGGGATTATGCGTAACATATATCTTACACAAATAATTCCTCTGCACACAAAAAAAATTGGAAGCAAATACTAATGCCTCTTTTTATGTTTTCTGCTTCGGACTAAAGGTCTTAAAAATTATAACTTATTAATATTAATTCCGAATAAGTTTACAAGAACGTCATATGAAAAACTACCAAACAAATTAAGCGCAGAATAAATTATGTAGAATTTAATGCGGACTTCCTCTGTGAAGTAGCGTGCATAATACGTATTTTACATTTGTAAAATATATGTGAGTAAACAGTAAAACAATTTGGTATTTTTATAAACTTAAAGGCATGTTTCTTTAGTGTGATTAAAACATTGAAATACATCAGAATCTTACGACTCATAATCTAGTTGAAGCGGTTAATTCGTCATGAAAGAGAAGAAGACGGCATGCCCACGGATCTGTGACTGAAGTTGGTATTACCTTCAAGACGAAGAGAACTGCGGAAACGCTCGAAAGAATATCATGAACTTCCCAACTCGTTAAGACAAGATGAAAAAAGTAACATGTTTCTATCCCGTAAATTCTGAAGAATAATTTTTGTAAAAAAAAAATTGCGAAAGGGAAGATAGAAGAGATATAGTGTATTGTGTAGTTATTTCTTTAAGAAAAATATACGTTTCGTATACGTAAGCTTTGGAATTGCGTAAACTTTACAAACTGAATTTAAAAAAGAATGTGACCGAAGCCAAACGGACGTAAAGATAGTGAAAGTAGTCTTACCGCTTTTCCTTTGCTATACAATGACGTCATGTCAATATTTTCCTCAAATGAAGACAGTGTCTTTAATTAAAGTTGTGAAATCTAATTTTACTGTATAAATACATTTGTGTTGGAGACAAGCTGAACTATATAGGCTCCCCTATATACAGCAGTAAGTTTGGGTTTGGTGGGGTGGAGGGGGGCGAACAAGCTCTCATAGGAGAAAATACTTCACTTAGAATTGCAAATAAGCAGAATGGTGACCGAATCCGTGAACTGTTCAGCTACTGATCTTTCCGAGAGCAGTTTAATTTTCTATAGTATTCTGAATTCGTAATTACAAAGTCATAGATCACTTACTGTAAATCACAACATGACCTTTCACTTTACACCGCCTCACAAATAAAAAGTAATTTGTCATTTCTGCAAAAATACTTAAATGCTTGACATACAAGTTTTGATTTTCAATTCAATTGATTTATCCCATTTAAGTCAATCAGCCTGATACTTCAACGGCCCACATTGATGACACAAGCTTTATTAAAATACCAGCTGCTACGTGGGATACAGGATCAGTGACAGAGAAACACGAAGCTCTGAGATTCAAGAGACCAAATGGAATTAACTTTCATTCTTCTATCACATTCGTACTATTAATTTCCTGCGTGAAATTGTTTCCACAGTATTATTCTTCATGTCTTACGCCTTCTCGTTTGTTCTAGAACTAATTATCACTCATGCTACTCATACAAACAAGCGTTGCACAATCTCCAGTCTTTCTCCTACATTCTATTACCTTCCCAATTTCACACCCCAATCAAATAACGGTCTTTCATTACCTTATAAAATTTAATTTGCCTATCATTAAGATTCAGATTTCGCAACCTTATTATATAATGTAATTTACTTCCTACAATATCATTAGCTTACCCGTTACACGTTTTTTTTTTAAAAAAACTATACATGATACCTCAAATAATTGCATTTATAAGCACTTCAATAATTATTCTCTATTACAATGTTAGTAATATTCTTTATTCAGATAATAAATAGATTTTTGTTGCGCACGCTTGCAGTCTAAGCTTCATATATTTGTTATAATATCTTGCTTTCTCTTAAGTTCTATTTTGATCTGATAACAGTTATGCTCGATCAACTAACGTTAGGATACTGGTGATGACTGAATGTAAAACATAAGAGTGTAAACTATATTTCAAGGACAAGCGACAGGGTCAGTATGCTTTATAAAATAGCTATGCTTTGGTCAGAAGGCAAACTTCAAGCACGACTTTGTCTCACAAGTAAAGGTTAGAAGCTACCACCGAAATTTCCCAGGCCATTATTCTTATTTAGATCTACTGCAAATCAGCGAATAACTGATGATATTCTCTGACAAGAGCTAAGGTTTGTTTAATTTCTCTGAAGAGAGAACTCAAGTGTACAACCTGGAGTAGCAGATCATTAGATCCTACAAACCAAACATTTCTTGGTTCTTTCCGGTAGGGAGTAAGATGCTTTGAAACAAACTTAAATTACTCAGCAACATCTTCTAATACAGACCCCGCTTTACAAAGAAAAGAAAAAGGAAAAGTATTTCTAAAGCCTACTCAAGAAGTACCGGGTCTACAATTTATGCGGCAGCGGTCGTGCTTGCATTGCGTGGTCGGCCGGCGCACTGTTGATGTGGGAGAGAGTATTGCGCGTTCTTCCCATGAGACACCGGCGAATCAGTTTCATTGCGTCTCTCGTTGCGGATTGACGTTAATAATATGGTGTATAGTATTAAGCAACGTGTGTTCTTAGTCGAAACATATGCCAAATATTCAACCTACGGAAGATGCCGCCGTAAATATCGCAGTCATTTTCCTGGTGTAAGTGTTCCTAGCAGGTCCATGATAGAGAGATTACTAAAAAAAATCGTAGTACGGGATCAGTTTTGGATAAAAAGAAGAACAGGAAACGGAGGGTATTGACGGAAGAGAAATTGGATGAAATCCGTACACTGCAGAAGAACTTATAGAAAATATTCGACAATTACCCCAGAAGAGCTTCGTCGAGTATTTCGAAACATGTTAACGAGATGTAAAGCTTGCCTGCAAGCACAAAGAAATCACTTTGAACATCTTTTGTGATTTAAGGTATGAACAATTAATGGAATAACATGTATTAGTGACGAGAAATATTCGCAGTTCGCTGTTACTAGCGGCACTGAAACTGATTCGCCGGTCACCCACCGGAAGAACGCGCAATACTCTCTCCCACATCAACAGTGCGCCGGCCGACCACGCAATGCAAGCACGATCGCTGCCGCATAAATTGTAGACCCGGTACCTACAAATACTCTGAGGAAAAAGAAGTAATTTCGTTAAACACTCGTATAATGCAAACTACTAACAGCAACGCTGAATATGACTGTCTTATATGACGTTGTGCTGTGTAGTCTGGCAACTACTGACCGAAGTCTCGGAGGAGAATATTGCCCCATCATCAGGGCGATAATGGAGGCAGTAGGTTCGTTTGATTCTTCGGTCAATGCCAGGCTACAACGAGTAACATCCCAACAGACAGCCATCTTCATATTCCTCGCCGTGAGAACCTGAAGTCTCCCCGATATCAACGTCGACTACAACAAAGACAGTACATTGCTCGTCTCCGCATAACAGCAAGTCCACAAACGACGGACAACATATGCACTATTTTTATTTTTAAAATGCTACCACATTACGCTCGAATATAACAACGTTCACTGCAATATCCTATTTGGGTCCACGTATTTTCCTAGACACATTAATTTAAAACACCTGTTTCTTTGAAGCAAGAGACCATCCTTCACACTCTTAACAAAGGTCAACATTATTTTCTATATATCTAGCCTTCATCATTATGGAATGTATATGGGGTCGAAAGAAGCTTTCAAACCGAATAACAACACTCATCACGGGCCTACTTTCATATTTCCCATTATTGTTATCAGTTACTTACATTCTCAGACAATATCTATTAATAGTTCCCATTGGTCAGCGCGAAACAAAGCAACCAGCAACTTCATTACTACCTGCCGTCCACCACCAATTCCCATCAGCTAGCGAACAAGAAAGAAACGTCTGAATACCCTGCAACCCTGAGGATGAGAACAGAGATGGTTCTCTAAACGTTGGAAGATGATTTAGATTGTTCACCGTTCAGAAACCTGACGCGGCCTGTAGCCCGAGAGTATTTGTAGGTTTTGGTTTTAATGACTGCTTATTGAACTCACCTGTTGGTACTTTGGGCCCTCTCGGACAATTGCACACAGAATCTCGACCACTTTGGTAGGGGCACTGGAACACACAACCTGCCTCCCCACATTCTGAAAAAGTAAAACAAGGAAGTCGTAGTGCTAATTACACTGTGCGTTTCATTTTATGACAACATCGCAAACCATACTTCAGAATCGCAAGATATCTTTAATTTGTAAAACAAAATGAGTATTCTTGCGTAAAGAGTCACATCCAAGCGAATAAATGCTCAAATATCATATAAAACGATCAAATGTACAGCTTCGCATACAACTTGAACTAAACTCGTTGTCTGATCTATGAGTAAGTTTAACTAGGTAATGTTCTAATACGAAGTAAAGAACTCAAAGAGGACGATAATCATGTTAGTTTGAAAAACTTCATTCATAAGTCAGGGCAATTACATTCCAAAAGATGGGGCTACTTGAGGAGGATAGGTTCGGTTAGTTTAGGTTGGATTGGGTTAGGTTAGGTTAAGTTAAGTTAGGTTAGGTTAGGTTAGATTGGGTTGGGTTGCGTTAGGTTAGGTTTGAGTGGGATGTGTTAGGTTATGTTTTGGTCCCTTACGTTGCATTGTGTGGTTAGGTTTGTATCGTTTCAACACAATCATGTCAAGTTGGGGTCACGCACAGGTCAACGTTATGTCAAGGTTACGACAATATCTCACCAACTGCTTGTCGAATAAAAGCACTTAAACTTTTGAAGGTCATTTCCAGGTCCTAGGCCGCTGATTATTTGAATTGATTAGATTCTTCTAGTTTACGTTAGGTTTCGTTAGGTTAATGATTCGTATGTGGTAAGGATCATGCACAGTTGTCAGTTGCTGAGCAGCTAAAGTAACACTTGAGTGTGTTTGTATTATAGAATGAGTGGTTACCAGTTGGAAGTGTTTCGACGATTGAGATAAATCAGGAATGCACAGACAGTAAGAAATGGTTCAGTGGAACGAGAAACCATGCTTTCCACTATCTAACACATCTATCGAATAAATCATGCCATTTCCGCCAGACAATACCAGACACAAATCCTGACATTCACAAGAACACGAACAATCGAACGGGAATAGCGTCACAGTGAAACAATTCCAGGCTCTGTCAAGTACGTTTACTAAGCATATGACAGAAATATACCTGCACTAACACGAAATGAAATAAACCAAAGACAAGTGAATGCATGAGATGTTTTATATTTCAGATTAGTAGAGGAAAGTGGTCTTTATAAAATACAATCTAGAACACGGTGCATTGGCTAGTACGTATATTTTTAGCAATTCCGTTCAGAAGGAATCATCAATAGGAAATGTGCATCATAATTTTTTTCGCCCTACACTTTTGTTTATGTAGTCAGACATATAGGGGCAGGGCTCAAGGACCCAAGTCCCTCGTCACAATGGGGTATATTTTCTGGAGTTATTTCATCGTTACATTGTCTATTGGTTACGCTGTTACTAACACAACTTTCGAAGGGTGTTGGATTCGATCCAAACCGACGACAGCAGCCTTAAAATAAACAATTATAAATCGATATGCCAGTATAATAATAACCTGAAAAAAGCGACCTTCAGAAACATGAAGTACAGGGCTATGTTAGTCACTGGGCAGTATCCAACTTAACGCTGGTGTCAAATAACGGTACAAACCACTACATAATTATTAAGTGGAGTATATTGTGTGGTTAGGTTTGTATCGTTTCAACACAATCATGTCAAGTTGGGGTCACGCACAGGTCAACGTTATGTCAAGGTTACGACAATATCTCACCAACTGCTTGTCGAATAAAAGCACTTAAACTTTTGAAGGTCATTTCCAGGTCCTAGGCCGCTGATTATTTGAATTGATTAGATTCTTCTAGTTTACGTTAGGTTTCGTTAGGTTAATGATTCGTATGTGGTAAGGATCATGCACAGTTGTCAGTTGCTGAGCAGCTAAAGTAACACTTGAGTGTGTTTGTATTATAGAATGAGTGGTTACCAGTTGGAAGTGTTTCGACGATTGAGATAAATCAGGAATGCACAGACAGTAAGAAATGGTTCAGTGGAACGAGAAACCATGCTTTCCACTATCTAACACATCTATCGAATAAATCATGCCATTTCCGCCAGACAATACCAGACACAAATCCTGACATTCACAAGAACACGAACAATCGAACGGGAATAGCGTCACAGTGAAACAATTCCAGGCTCTGTCAAGTACGTTTACTAAGCATATGACAGAAATATACCTGCACTAACACGAAATGAAATAAACCAAAGACAAGTGAATGCATGAGATGTTTTATATTTCAGATTAGTAGAGGAAAGTGGTCTTTATAAAATACAATCTAGAACACGGTGCATTGGCTAGTACGTATATTTTTAGCAATTCCGTTCAGAAGGAATCATCAATAGGAAATGTGCATCATAATTTTTTTCGCCCTACACTTTTGTTTATGTAGTCAGACATATAGGGGCAGGGCTCAAGGACCCAAGTCCCTCGTCACAATGGGGTATATTTTCTGGAGTTATTTCATCGTTACATTGTCTATTGGTTACGCTGTTACTAACACAACTTTCGAAGGGTGTTGGATTCGATCCAAACCGACGACAGCAGCCTTAAAATAAACAATTATAAATCGATATGCCAGTATAATAATAACCTGAAAAAAGCGACCTTCAGAAACATGAAGTACAGGGCTATGTTAGTCACTGGGCAGTATCCAACTTAACGCTGGTGTCAAATAACGGTACAAACCACTACATAATTATTAAGTGGAGTATTGTTGAAAACGTTTTGTTGCATTCGTGTATGAATACTTTCAGTGCTTCAGCCGATCGCAAAACCGGAAGCCCTTTTGGCAAAACTATTTCATCTTTCACCAGAAAATGTGCAATATTGTGACAGGTATAAACCAGTGCTTCGAACTGTGACAGCTAATCGGCATGTTTCTTACAGAATCTGTATTATTATTTATGGTA